TTAATCGTACCTTGTTAATTATCGTACATTTTACGATAAATTCTGAACAAACATTTCGATAATATTAGTGTCGTTTTTTCTATAAAATATATTTTAGAAAACATTAACGATCAATCTATCACTAGTAATTTATTACAGTCTTTCCACTATTCAAACAGCAACATGTGGATTACTTTTTTTTGCACTTTTTTCTTTCAATATATGCAAATAGTTTCTGGTAGTTTAACACAAGTTCCAGTGATCCATAATGTTTCTATGCATGTTTCACATTTTAATTCGACAACAATTATCAATAGCACTTGTGATCAATGTATTTGTCTGATGCTGATGAATGTAACACCGATTTCTTCTTTTAATTATTTTCGAAATAATAAAACATGTGAAATATTCTCCGAATCTGTTGTAACAAGTCAGTTGTCGTTAGTGAGTAATTCGAATAGTTCAGTTTACTTTATTTCATTACCAATTGATGATATACAATTGACTACTTCTGTCATTCAAGAAACTACTAGTAGTTTTACAGGTGAGTTATAATTCTTATAAAATATTCAAACATATTTGATTACTTAATAATATTTGTATTATCTTTGTAGGTCTATGGTATAATCGACCTATGTTTCGTCCATGTGCATCGTGGAATCTTAACGCCACTACCTTTGCAAATAAGAGCATATTTGGCTCCAATAGTCATGGGCTCTTTATCGACACATATAATACTATCTATGCAGGTAGCTGGTCCTACGGTCTTGTTAAAGTATGGACTAATGGCAGTTCAACTGTCACAAAAACTATTCAAAATGGTTTGTCTTGTCCAATGAATTTTTTTGTTGCAATGAATGGTGACATTTATATTGACAATGGCTGGAAAAATCATCAAGTCGATAAGTGGACCTCAAATGCTACGATCGGAACACGATTTATGAATGTCAGTCATCCATGTTATGGTCTCTTTATTGACACCAATAACACATTATACTGTTCATTAGCTGACTTAAACAAAGTATTGAAAGTTGATCTCACCAGTGGTTCAAGCACACCAGTGACGATCGCTGGAAATGGTTCAAGTGGATCGACATCATCGTTGCTCAATTATCCCTGGGGAATCTATGTTGATACAGACTTCACTTTGTATGTACCAGATTCTCGAAACAACCGAATTCAACGATTTGGGTTCGGTGAATTGAATGGTAGAACGGTAGCAGAGGCTATGGCATCAGGAATCATTACACTCAATAATCCAACTGGTATTGTGCTTGATGGAAACGGATACCTATTCATTATGGATACTGGCCATAATCGTATTGTTGCATCGAGTTCCGCTGGATTTCGATGTATCGCTGGATGTTCAGGTCATAACGGATCAACAGCAGACACACTACACAGTGCTCGTTATATGGCATTCGATACTTATGGTAATATATTCGTGAGCGATGATGACAACGGCAGAATTCAAAAATTTTATCTTCAGTCCAACTCTTGTCGTAAGTTGCTTCTTGTGATATTATTTCTAGTAGAACACAGATCTTTTTAGTCTAGAAAATACTGCGGGAATAAATCTCAAAATATCTATTTTTTGCTAAGTTAAGAATAACAACGTATTTATATGTTTTTATTGACTTAAATGAATAAAAACAATAGTTTATCGTCTCTTTTTTATTTTATTTATTTTACAGTTATAACCACAGTTCAAAGTCATATGACTGATATTTTATAATCTTCAACACAAAGTAATTTCAGTTGTTACATTTTTACTTCTCTTTGCAGCATAAATAATGACAAGTCATGCATCCAACCAAATGACTACTACTGTCGTTAGTCTAATAACTAGCACAGCATTCAAACGAATCAGCTTTGTTGAGAGCAATCCATTATGTTATCAACTCCTACTTTTTTCTTTTTTGCTTTTTATCAGCGATTAAAAATGTATAATTACTGTTTCTCTGCTTAACTGTTCATTCATTTTTCGATTCTCTCACTTTGCTTCTGTATAGTTTCATTTATACATATATTGCAATAAATAAGTCATTTAGAAGATACATATTTTATCAATGACTTTCTTACAACTCTTTGTTTTACTTAATTTATTTTGAATTATAATAAAGAGAATGTAATTTCAACAAAGAATGAAACACGTGTTTCGTAGTTTTACCCTTTGAATCACCGAGTTAGTTTACATTTTTGATGACAGTTAAATTACTGTCACATGTTGTCACATACAAAAAGGTTGATATTATTTTCTTTTTCCTTTTCTATCGTCTTCGTTCGTCATATCTTACGTGTGGACTGATTCATTCTTCAATCCACTTTCATTCTCGTGGTGCAATAATCAAGAGAAAAGAATGACATATGTATTACACAAATGAATCACCTATCAGCTTCTTATACATGTATATATTACTGATGCAAACGAAAGTAACTATTTATTCAGTATTTTGCTTCTCTTTAGTAACAATCGAAGTTTCTATCTATTAACCATGTTACGTGTAGCTCTTCGCTCAAGTGATCAAAATTGGAGTATTGGTGGTAGTAGTGATGAAGTATGGAATGGATGGAGTCACATTGAATCTAAAGATAATTTCTGGGGATGTGGAAATAATATTGGAATGACTTTACAAAAAGGTATGAATGTATATCAAAAGTAATTATTATTTTCTCTATCATTTTCTTTTTCTAGGTGATATGATATGTACATATCGTGCATCATATTATCGTCCAAGTTTCGATATAGTTAAATTAAATGGTAAATCAGCAAGTGGTTCATTCTCTTATGATCGAACTAAATCCAAAGAAGAAGTATATAATGCATTCGTCGAGTTTATTGAGAAGCAAATTGCTGCTCAGAGTGAATAAATATATTAATATAGATTTTTTTTGATTAAACTGAATTATTTCATCATGTAATATTTTTCTCTCTAAGTGTGTTTTGCTTATTGATAAATAAAGAAACAATTTCAAAAGTATTATATCCGAAATGCATTGATAACAACAACTTTATGTAGTAACTTCGGGTTGAGTTATTATTAATCGAGACTGAGAGAACTACAAAATTCTATTTACAGTTCAATGTGAAAAAAAGAAAAGAAAAGTAATTATTAAGATTATATAAGACAATAACTATGTTATCCATCAAATAATTATCTGTATAATGGTATAGTTTCAATTCAAATTAATTCTCTGGTTGGGTGTGGGTGACTTGAGAAAAGATACACATTCACACTCACACCTTCAAGAGCGTCGTGCACCGATCAATATTCATTGCCTATTTTATGAAAGTTTCGTTTGTGTATATGTTTACATACTGCTTTCGTATTACCACGTGTAATAATAAAAGAGAAGAGAAAATGGGTATAGTTAAGATTGATTTTAATGGTGCAAGAATTTTTCATTGCTTTTTTTTCTGTGACACTTTTAGTAAAAAGAATTCTCTTGTTTACCGTTGACACAGACGTTTCATTTCTCCAAGAACACGAACAGACATATACACACACATATATTCAAATTAGTAGGTAGTTGGTAAATACCTCTTGATTATAAATATTAATTAATTCAAACGTATATTATCTTACACTAATGGCACGTACTAAATTTGATCAGTTACCAAATGAACTAGTTCTTAACATACTGGGTTATTTAACTAGTCTTGATGCATGGTTTGCTTTCCACAATTTAAATACTCGTTTGAATAATTCTTTACAAACTAGTTCAATGAAAATAGATCTTAGTCTTTGTCTTCGATTTCAATGTGATTTCACTTATCGATATATTCTACCTAGACTTCAAAATCCATTTGCTATTCGTTTTTGTCCAAGAATCATGGATGAATCTATTTATCAGTTCTTTATTGAATTAAAATCAAACAATGTCGAATATAAATTGCAAGTTTTGACATTAACTCATATAACCGAACAATCTATGAATATTATTGCTCAACATTTAAATCGATTAATAAATCTTCGTTCGTTAACTATTATGCACGATCATGAAGAATCCTACGGGAAATTTATAAATACATTCATGAACACGAATATGTCCCGTCTTGTGTATCTCACTCTTGGTTATACAGAACGTTCATCAAGTTTATATCTTTACGAGGGCAATTTAGATAGACTTCGCTCAACTATTCCAAATATTCAAAATTTTGTACTCAAAGTTCCGATTAATTTTAATACTTTTCATCGGCTTTTGAATGTATTACCTCAGTTGGTTTCCATCGATGTTCACTTGACGGAACGAAGCATAGATGAGATTAAGAAAAACTCATATAATCGTGATTTTGCACGTAATTTACAAAAACTAGTTATGACCATAAATGGCATAATTCGTTTTAAGATTATTGAACAACTTCTTCGTGCTCTTCCACATTTACACACATTCTGGTTAAGCACATTCATATGTGACAATAGCTACGGAATAGAATATCAAGATGGTAAAGTATGGGAAGGGTTAATTCGTAAATATTTACGAAACTTAATTGACTTTCGCTTAAATGTGGGCCTTGAATCAACACAATCTATATCGCCTGCAGATATAATTCAACCATTTCGTAGTTCTTTTTGGACTAAGGAAAAAAACTGGTGTTTTATTGCTGATCGACCTGAAAATGATGTTGATACAATTGAACTTTATAGTTTACCTCCACCCGTTAACAGTAAAATTATCTTTCGTCCAAATGTACAATGGGTCTCAAATTCATCAAATCCAAATTTTCAAAGTGTAAGAAT